CTGCGGCGCGCGTGCGGGTCCGTGCGGGCTGCGGGGAGCAGAGACCCCGCGGGGCCCCGGGCCGCCCGGCCCCAACTTGTGCTCGCCGTGCGGGGAGCGGGTGCGGCCGCGGCCTGGGGACGGCGGGGGTCGGTTTGTGCGTTTGCCATTGCCTTACTCGCAATTAAACGTGTTCTTAACGCTGTTATGATAGAGTACAAATATTAATAACCTTTTTTATAATTTTTTTTTCTGGAAGGAGAAAACGCTTTGCACAATAGCTGTTAAGTTGAACACTGCCCAGTTATCTCCAAATTGAAAAGTACTTTGTCACCATGCTGCTTAGAAATGAATGAACCTCCCAGTGCAGGGTTGCATCCTGTTTTTTTCTCCCATTATTTCTCAGCATCTTCAGGTGTATTGCTCAGAATGGAGCAGGTCTCTTATTTCCCTGGGTTTCTATTGATGTCTAATTGAGCATTGGGCTGCAGTGCTCAAAGGCTGTCAGTGCTTTGTGGCTAGGACCATAGTCCTGAAGCACCACACCCGCTTTAGATATAAATAATAAATGGCATTAGCTAAAATAACTCCTCACGGCACGGTAGAATTCTTGCTTTAAGAAGACATGGGATCCAAAGAACCCATTTCTCAGAGAGGTCCAATTAGATTAGGGTACCTGTAGAAAAACTGCTGACCTCAGCAGACTTCTGCAATACAGATTATTTTTGTTGCCTTCGAGAGGTGACTCTGCAGGTGACTCCCCAAACTGAAATGCCGAGAATGGGAACCCAGGGAACGTTTTCGCTGTCCGCTCCGGTTCTCCTCACCCCACTGTCCTCCCTTGTATCTCACCCGCCCATTCCTTTGCTGCCTGCTTGATCCTGCTAGAGCTGAACGGCCAGTTCTTCCTCAGCCCTTCCAGCGCTGTGGAGTCTTTTCAGAGTAATTAATTGGGGAAAGAGAGAGAGAGACAGAGCACGTTCATAGAGCGGTACTGAATAAGATTCATAAAAGAGATTAGGACACTAATTTGTATCGATACAAATTAGTTTTAATGGATGGACTTTGTTGGAAAATCAGCACGTCTGTGCAAGTAAATCATGGAGTTACTCAAAACCAAAGGCTGGTTTTGTATAAAGCAGTATAGAACATTTTTATTGAAAACTACTACTGTTAAAGACTTGCATAGGTATTTACCTTTATTTAATGGAGTTGTGCAAAAGTGGGGAGCTCAAATAAGAAATGTGGCTCTGGGCTTTGCTTAAATGTCAGGAATGGCCTCTTTGCCCCACTGGGGCAGAGTACCTCATGTGCAGAGTCTCATTAAAGCTCTTGTATCATTGGGCTCTGCATATTCAGCTAATGTTGTTAATATTTTATGTTGCGCTCACTGTCTGGGAGGGGACCATTATTATTCTGGATGTGTCAGAGACAGAGCCTACTGATCATACACCAAGAATAACTATTTGGCTCTTAACAAGAATAGCCGAAGAGTTAAGCTTTTACCCACGCCCTTTCTACCACCAAGCTGCTGAAGATACCCAGCACGCAGTGGAAACCAGGGTGGTATCAGCTGTGGTTTCCTCCTCTCCGTTCATCACCTTTGCTCCAGGAGGCAGCATGGCCTGGTGAACTGACTCCATCAGGTGACAGGAGGAACTCCTGAAGCCCAGCACTAGCCCTGCACTCTTGGGCGAGTCCTTTTAGCTCATCTGCTCCAGTCCTCCTTGGTTTTCCAACCATAAATACCCACAGAGTCTTTGGTATTGTGATAAACTGTAACACAGAATGAGAAGTATAGCAAATAATTTAAAGTAATTAATTTTGCCTTACATGGAACTGTGGATGAAGAGTCCTTTACTTCCCTGCTTGTGCAATGGAAATGGTGGTAGCTAACTTCTCGGAGGGGCTGCTCTGAGGACTAGTGGTTGCCTTGTGTTTTAAGATCAATTTTTTTTGGAGTTTTCCTTTTTTTCCTACCACTCTCCA